CATCTCCACTTCTGCACTGAAAATGCTCTGAGAGCAGAGAATGTGTCTGATTGCTCTGAGCATCCCCAGATCCCTGAATCCCTTCGCACGAGCCAGGCCGTGGCAGCTGCTCAACTCGTGTTGCTCAAGGAGGAGTGAAGCCAGGATTAGACTTCCACTTCCGCACTGTGACCTTGGGCAAGGCACACAACCTCTCTGAGCTCTAATTTCTTTCTCTGGGGTGGGGAGGAACCATGAGGGGAATAATAACACTACCTAACTGATGTCTTCCAGCTTATTGTGAAGATAAATAAGTACGGTGCAAAATCAGCATCTAATCCGTGAATAGCGTCTGCTACACATGCTGTCCCTTAATAGAGTAAGTTAAGAGCAAAGTAAGACATTTTATAGCAGTTGCTGATGTTAGTGCCCTTTGCAATTATAGGCAAGAATGATTTCTGAGCATGCTACTGTCAGGGAGAAATACAGTGTTAAGCGGTGGGGCACACACCATATAAATGCCAGCAGTTGGTATTCAGAGGGAAATGTGTCACCTGCTCACAGGTAACGTTATCCCTAACAAGGGTCTTACAGCTAATGATACCTTTATCCAAAGTAATATGCCGTTCTGGAGGATCAGCCTTGGGTCAGGCAGGTGGGAAATATCTGAGGTCAAGGTAGGGTCCAGTTACCCCCATGGTAGGCTTCTGTACCCACACTCCTTACTCATGTCCAGGAACCTGCTGTTCTCCCAAGATCCCTGGGACTAAGTCATGTTCCTCTCCCCACCCAGCATCTATCTTCTCCCCAGGGCTTGGGCCTGACAGCTGAGGTCCTGGAGAGCAGACTGCTCCCACTGGCAGCCTGCACTCCTCGGAGGGGATGAGGTCAGGTCAATGGCAGGAGTGCCAACTTGAACTTCATAAATCACTTCCAACTTATTGGCCTCACTGCAACTCTGTGAAGATGATATTAGAACCCCCTTTAGAGTCTAAAGTTAGAGAAGCAGAGGGCTTGCTCCTGGGCACAACTGTTGGACTTAAACCCAAGTCTATCAGATTCCAAATTCTCGAGTTTTTCCCATGCTCCCCCTTCCTTCTCTGGGCAAGTTCAGGGAGATTGCTCTCCAAGACCCACCCAGTACATGCTTCCTGAGCTCAGCATGAGCTCAGTCCCTGAAGGAACTCAGATTTCAGGCAAATACCGTATTTCCTTGATTCTAAGATAAAATCTTATTCACAGTTTTATATTTCCAAGATGAAGATCTTAAAAATGGTAACATCTTGGATTTTAGGAAATTTAGTCGGAGTCCTAGAGACTGTATTCGGGTGCCTCTGTTCAGCTACCAACTGGTGCTATGCATTTTGGGAAGTCACTTGACCTGCCTGTGCCTCAGGGCATTAGCCTGATTTTTGGTACCAGCTCTGCCACTTGATAGCTTTGTGGCTTTGCTATCACCCTCTGGGATTCAGCTTCATCTATAGAATGATGGGAAGTCACTGATTTTTTGACCTCTTCTTTGAAGCTGCAGAACATGGTTCCCCAATCATATGTAAGTAAAAAGCTCAGCTGCTCTGGTTGAAGTAAGGGTGGGAGGGCCTGGAACCCTATGGTTTCCTCAACTCCCTCCGCCCTGCCAGGGCCATCATCAACTTCCTCACTTTGGCAGATTTCTCTGTTAAGCTCTGGTTTGGGAGAACAATGCTCCAGGAGGTGAAGACAGGGCTAGAGGACCTGGGCTTAAACGCAGATTCTTTAAGCAGCTGGGATGGCTATGGTATAATCACTTCCTGGCTCTGGACCTCAGCTTCTCATCTGTAAAGTAAGGCAGTAGATGAGACGATTTCGAAGAATCTATTCTGGCTCTGATATTCCACAAATGCAGTCTTTCATTGCTCTACTCCAAAGGTTGTATATTCTGGTTGTACATTGGGATCACCTCGGGAGCTTATAAAAAATTATTGAAAGATGGCAGACTTCCACCCCCACCCCATGTTGATGTAATTGATCGTAGGAAGGATTCAGACATCAGAGTTTTTAAAAGCTCCCCGGCAATTGCGATAGCAACTAGGGCTGAGAAGCATCACCCTTCCAAACCTAAAGCCTCAGTGGGGGACAAAGAATAAAAATTCCAGCGACCTTTCAGAGGAGTCCTAAAAGCTTAAACTGGGGGAGAATTTGGTTTCTTTGTTACTCTTACAAGTGGATTGGTCAGTGAATGCTTGGGAACCTATAATCTTTCAATCAGATAATCATAAATGAGGGAAGTCAAAACTTTTTTATTAAAAAATTTAAAAAGTTTTGGTATTCAAGTATCTAATAAGTGATTCCTACATACCTGACTCTAGCAGGTATGGGGGGGAGAACTAGCCCAGTGCAGCATGGTGCTTACTCTCACAGCCTGCAGTCTAACTGCGGAAACAAAACCAGAATGGCATAAAACTAAGTGCTAAATCTAAGATAACCTTTATTGAGCGCTTTTACTGCATGCCAGGCACCAAGAGCTTTCTAGTATATGAAACGAATTTAATCCTCACAGTAACCCACTGGGGAGGGTCCTGTTGTTATTCCTATTTCACACCTAAGGAAGCCCAGGATCAGTGCGTTATGTAAACACGCACAAGCCCATAAAGCTAGCAAGTAGCAGAGGCCAGGGTGGAAGCAGGCTCCAGAGCGGATGCTGGTGTCACTTTGCAACACCACCTATGAAAATGGCCGGATAAGCTCCGTAGGGTGCCGAGAGGAACCTGGGTCTGGCTTTAAAGCATGCGTGCTACTCGGAAGAGGAAGGCCTCAGGATGCTTGTGGGTGAGGGAAGAGCCCAGGTGAGGGAAAGGGAGGCTAGGTCAGGTGACACAGGGCCTTGAATACTGGGGCGCAAGAGGGATTTGATTCGGGACTGGAGCGGGAAAGTGCGAATTCATCATGCCAGGAAGAAAGTGGCAGTGTCTGCTGGGTATGCTAGTGAGGTGGGAGGTGAAGGTGGTCCTGAGAACCCATCGAGGGCAAGGGTTGTGTCCTTTTCATCTTTGCTTCTTCCTGGCCTAACACAGGCCTGGCACAGGAATGTTACTAAATATTTGCAGAATGAAAGTTGAGAACTGCTTCTCTGAAGTCACTTGGAATTCTTAATCTTCGCCTTCAACTCCAACCCAGCGTGACATTATAGGTCCTAGGCTGAGGCAGGAGCAGAGACAGGAATGAGGAGGAATGGACAGCTGAGACAACGCAAAGCGATTAACTGGCGAGGCAACACATCCCTAAGTGCTCAACACAACTACAGACAGTGGCGTTCACAGGCACGCTTAGGGTTACAACAATGACCGTACGTACGCCCAGAAACCAAGCCAACGGAGTCCGTTTCACAGAAGAGCGGTACGTTTCCAGAGCCCAGCTGGTCAGAGGACTTCCCGCAAAGAACTGTCACCTGTGAATAGAACGTGAACTATGCGCTTCTGCGGGGTGCTTTTCCAGTGAGGATGGGTGGACGGGGGCGGGGGTGGGCTCCTGGCACCGGCTGAGGACAACTATCCTGGCTAATTGTTCCCAGACTTCTATTTTAAGAACTCAAGTTTAGGAGCCAATTTAGAAAGAGTATCTTTTAGTAAGGGGCACACAAACTCCACAATCTCATTGCCAGTGTCATTGCCAGTGGAGCTGAATCCACTCTAGTCAGTTTCCATGGGAGCTCAACCTCTTCCAGGGCGGCAAGGCCGGGCCACCAGATCTGTGGACAGAACTAGGCTGATTAACTTATCTAAATCCTGGTTGTTTCTCAGACCACTCCAAACTCGTAATAAAATTATGGTTTTGAGAGTCTCATACTGTAGCTGTCTCAACTCTGCTCCCCTCCCCCACCAAGGCATCAATCACTGTTTCTCATAACCACTTCGTGGGTGAGGTCTGGTCACAGGGAAGGCCAGGGGCCTGGAGGCCACGGCCCTTGCTCCGACAGGACCCTGGGGCCTGAGAGCCACTGAGAAGTCTGCACCTCTGTGAAGAAGTCTTCGCAGTATGCTTACGGCCAGGTTGAAAGCTGATTTTTGATTAGCAATAAATCCTGGCTGAATGAAAGAGACCGAGGTAGCCTATAAAAGTTTCCTGTCCGGAGTACCATAGATGAAGTATATGTATGCTGAGGTATTCATTCTTTAGAGTTTGGCAGGGGGGTCTGGCTGGTCACTTCTGGCTACAAGCAATCTCAACAGGTTAACCTAGTCTACCTGTTTATCCCAGAATCATACAAATGTCTTTTTTTTTTTTAAGTGTCATGAGGTAAAAAGGATAGGTCTATAGCATTATCCTGTTTAAAGATAAATCTTTATTTCTAATAATTTTTGTATACAAATTTATAAAGTTTTAAGACCCTAATACATTACATAGCAGTGGTTCTTTTTTTTTTTTGAATCATTATCCCTTTGAGAATCTATAATGCCAAAGTCTTTCTCCCTAGAATGTGCCTCCACTCATTCATGCAATATTTTGTATACAACTTCAGAGGGTTACAGAATTCAGATTAAGTGTCCATTCTGGAAGGATTCTCAGACAAACCCACATTTACTAATTTTAGAGGAGCTCACTTGCTGCTTTCCCTTACCCTTTCTCTAGTACAGCTTCAGAAGACCAGAGGATTGTCAAGGAAATCTCTGAAGACAGCATTACACTGAACTCCCTTGAAATCTCCCGGGGAGCATGCAGAAACCACTATCAACTCCGAGAGGCATTCCAGAGAAACTCCTAGCTGCTAACCATTGGCTCCAAGCATCAGCTACCCTGCAGGACCAACGCTGGTTGTCGGGAACCACTTACAGGTACAAAGCCGTTCTCTGCACACCTCCCTTTGGGTTTGGATGCATTTTTGGTTAGTGTTTATACCAGAAACCTCAACGTAATTACCTTGCAGTCTCCCTTCTCCACTGCAAGCACATGACCTTGCTCGTGTGTTAATCACTCACAGTTGCCACTAATCAAGGCAAGAGTGTACAAATGGGGAGTGGGGCGAAAAGGAACATTTTCATCAATTAATTTTAGCAGCATCTTTATTGCAACAAAGAACCTGTAATAAAAAGCAACAAAACTAACGTTTCACTTTACATGATTAAAAGCCATGTAGCCGAAAATGAGAAAACCCATAAACTTACTGGAGTGAGACATGCAATTCTCTTTATACATGTCAATGCTTAAAACAGCAGGCACTTAATGTTCTAAAATTAAAGACCTGAACTCCAATTGTGCTGGATACAACATAAATTTGTATTTGGGTTATTTAAAAACAAACATATAAACACTACTTTTCCTCGCTGTCTGTGAGGGACTTCTCAAATGGTTACCCAGAGCTGTCTCTTGACAAAATCAGAAAAGCAGGAGCCAGCACCTGGCACTAACTATGTCTCCATATTTTAGGCTGCATGATGAACAGGTGAGGCTGGGTGGGGCTGGGAAGGTGGGAGTCAGGACAGTTTCATTATTCCTTTGTGTCTGCCGGGAATCGACACTCACCTTTCATGTCTGAGTTTAGATATGGCCATGATTCTTTTCTTAATTTAACTTGCTATAATTTGGGCTCCCGGGCTTAAGCAAACACTCTACACTACATCCCGATCCCCCAGTCCCCGACCACACCAAGGAAGACACATTCAGTATAACAATTTTAATTAACTTCAGAATGTCATATACTAATTAGAAGTACTGCTTCATTAATAAGCATGCTTAGCATTTACTTTAGAATGGAAAAATTAACCATTTTATGTTATCTTTAAAATGTTTCATAGGAATATATTAATAAATACTTCTTTAAAAATTTGCCCTTTCTACATATCATTTAACTACCATGAGTCAGGATAGCTGGATGGAGTCTAGTACCAAACGAACACTAACTGGATGTGTGGCCACGGGTGCATTTTCTCCTCTCTCTATACGTGGGTTCCTCCTCTGAAAAATGGGAACGTTAGATTATATCAAAGATAGAACAACTTGAAAATTTGGTTCTATAATAATGAGAGATATTATAGGAATCATTCCACCTACAGAGAGGACAGCATTACAGAGAAGTCAGATACACCTTCTCTAAGAAATTAAACACGTAGTAAAAAAAAAAGGAAGCATCAATATCTAGATCTCATTCTTTTAAAAGGTAATGCATGCATTGTGACTTCATCCTCGTGTATGAGGCTTTGGAAACCAGCCAGGAATGGCATAGAGGGAAAAACCTTCATTCCAAAATTAATCTCCAAAGGGGATATACAGTTAATGATCCCTTCATTAACTTTTTTTTTCAGAGTGAAAAAAGGGCCAATGTTTATCACAGATGAGCAGCTACCTTGACTATTATTTTAGGTTCTAATAAATCAGTTCAGTGGAAAAAAAATCACCTGTTATTTTTTCAATCCAGCTCATTCTCTATAGAAGAGTTTCTTAAGGTAGCCCACAAGTAACTGGCTTTAGAATCATCTGGAAGGCTTGTTTGAAATGCAGATTCCTAATCTCCTCTCAAATCAACCAAATCCAGATTTCTAAGAGTGATGTTCAAGACTGCATCTCTTTTCATGAGCGTCTCAGATGAATCTTAGACGTCGAGTCCCACTGCTCAACAACACATAAAGAATCAAACCTGTTGATGGTTGTTCAAGGGCACTGATTTACCAGGTCTGCAAAACCTCCTACAATGTTTAACCTAGTGCTTTTTGGTTCTCACTAAAAACGTTGCTACTTTTACATACTCTTGCCTTTTAAGTTGTTACCCATAAATAGTTTTAGTGAGATTTCTACTGAGTGCTTTAATTGACTATGATGTGTTTCACACTGATTTTAAAAATCAAATTCAGTCGAGCTGTCTTTCTGCAAGTGAATTCAGTCAGGTATTTTTTTCCCCCTATGGAAGGAGAACGGCATTTAAGTGACTGGGAACTATATTTCTTGTGATAGAAGGGAAGCAGAAGGCAAGATGCAAAAGGAAAACATCTGTGAATTTCAAGAGTCCATGAGGTTCTCTAAGGTTTGTTTTGGTACAAGATGCCATTTTGAAGAAACACCTTATTGGATAAGAGGTTTCAAATGAGTAGCTGTCTGTACACCATTTCTACTTTGCATATTACATAAGGGTGGATCCCTGGAGGCCAACTAGTCCACAAACAAAAGCTGTCTTCAGTAATCAGATACATAGTTAAGTCATTGGGGGAAAATACTTTCTTGGGGAAGAAGAGTTACCCAAATCAATTTAATTTAACATTGAAAAAAATATAAACAAATCTTGGCATGGGAAAATATCATAAACAAGAAAATCAATACATATACAGACATAAGGAAAAGTGTGGTACCTATCATACAGTATAAATACAAAAACAGAAGCTCGATCCCTTTCCATGGGCAGAACCGCCAGGCCACCCTGCCATCTCTGGACTTCCCCCAGCTCCCGTGCGGCCTTCAGTGACGAAGGCCACCTCTGACGCACAGTCACCACCCTCACTGATGGCGGCTGTGCTCTCTCGGGGAGAAATCTACTCTCTTTGTAGTGGTGAGAAAGGAAAGGAATAATTTTTTTTTTTTGAAAGTACTGGTAACAACTTTCCAAACACCGAGACTTGGGCTAAAAAGGGACATGGCTTCTCTGCCACTAGCTCCGATGTGACCCATCTAGCACCCTAAGAGTCTAAGACGGTAGATCCCAATCAGCACCGATCAGCACTATGAGCTCCCTTAATAGTCAAGTGCTGGGGCCAAGCCAGGAAAATGTCATGGCCATTCAAGAAGTCGCTTATAAGCTTGGAACACTGAAAAAGAGGGCCATGGCTTGCTGGGGATCGGTTTATGGTAAAGAGGTTGTCTGGAAACCTCTTTATTTTAAGCTCACAATTTCTAAGTAATGCTCAAGTAATTTAAAAAGTTTAAAGAAAGTTTAAATTTGTAAGGTTTCCAAAATTAAGAAGAAAATAACAAAAAACTAGAATTATCAAAGTAACTCTAAGGAACCTTTCCTCCCGTGACTAATGTTAGTCTGTAACTGTGTTGGCAAGAGCGTGATTTCTTAATTCTGGTTTCCTTAACTAACAGTCTAGGAGTTTAAATTCCAATTCTGAAACTTTTCCGTGAGTATTTTTGGTCATACTGTACCGCTGCCTAGGTTTTCAGCAGACCTTGGTCTTCTCTTGCTCTCCATGCCCTGGTCTCCCCCGCTCCACCGAAATTCCCTTCTATTGCCCTAATACTCTGAAACATTTTAATGAGGAAACACCCAATGGAAACTGGCACCACTAAGTTTTCCGAAGAATACAAGTGAATGTGTACTTTTTTTCTTTTCCTAAAGGGAAAGACATTGCCTGCATATATTTAAGCTCTAATCATTTGATTAAAATTCTCCTGCCTGTTAATTATCAATGTTATAAGACTAATTAAATCCATGCTACATATACAGTTCACTTGCCTTTATGTGAAAGGAAAAATCCACTCGGTCATATCATCATAGAGAAGTATTTATACTAGACACAGTTTAAATTGGCTAAAAACTGGTCAGACTTTGAATGAAATAAGTGTCTTTAGGAGGCCACTAAGTTATCCTTGAAAAATCATTAATGACTGGTTAAGCCGTAGGTTTAATGGTGATTAGTTCATAACGTGCTGGATATACCCCAAGCAATGAAGTATAAGCTATTCAATTATATTTAAGTGCTATCAAATCTGTAACTAGTCAGAGATTCTGGAATTGAACCAAACCGATCACTAATATCATCGTATTTGAACAAACTCAGAAGTATACTGTAAAAATACACTAAGTCCATGAGGTTTATAATGCTATTAAAAATGAAAGTAAGGTAGTATGGATACATGGAGCTAATGTCTTATTTTCTTCAGTAATTCTCATGGTATTGCTCGGTCCCTTAAAAATATGTCATTCAATTTTGCGTGTGTATGAGATTACTTTAGGTTACGGTATTAGATTACTGTCCATGAGCTGTAAACACCTGCATGGCACCAAGTATACTCTCGGAAGTAGATGCTATGTGGCAGGTATCAAAATGTGATGACCAATTCTATATTCTCTATTGACTAAACCTCCTCATTTGGTTAAACAGCCAGTGTATACCAAGTTCTGCACAGGTCAAAATTATATCACTTTCAGAGCAGCAATACGTGATCCAAGGTTTTCTTGAAGGTAGTGCAAAAGATACAGTTCATAATGTTCTCCCGACTCAGGAACTCTTATGCTATGTCTCTCCTGAGGATAGATCTTGACGGCAACAACGACAAAAAACCAAAACACACAAAACAAGAAATTAATACTACATCGCCTTCCAAAGCTGTCCAGAGATTTTCAGCAGGATTAGTAATATGCAGCAGAGCCTCTCCAAGGTACCATATACATACGTCCTATCTTAAGGCCCTTCTCCTCTTTTTATAATTTCCTACGCACCACTGGGGCTTACAGAAGGATTTATCTGTAGACCACTGGTTCTCCAAGTGTGGTCTGCAGACTTCTAGGGAACTCAAAAACCCTTCCAAGGGATTCACAAGGTCAAAACGACTTTCAGAACAAAAGGAAGACATTATCTGCCTTTCTTCACTGTGCTGGCATTTGCACTGATAATGAAAGGCAATGGTGGGTACAAGTGCTGGTGCCTTGGCCTGAATCAAGGCAGTGGCATACACTTGCAGCAAATAAGAAAAAAAAAAAAGCCAATTTCACTTAAGTAGCAGTAAAAATTACAATTTTATTAAATTGCAACCCCTGAGTAGAGGTCTTTTTAATATTCTGTGGTGATGAAATGGGAAGAATTCATAAAGCACTTCTGTATAGAATGTCTCAAGGAAAAGCACTTGTACAACTGAGTTTTTACATGGAACGTTTAAAATGGAACTCCATTTTTCACTTGAAAGAATGACAACTGTGATGATTCAGGCTTGGGTATTAGGCAAACGTTTTCTCAAAAATGACGTGAGCTGGTCACTTCAACGAAAACAATGACAGTACTTACTGCCAATGACAAAATTTTGAACTTTTAAGTGAAAATTCGAATTCTGGAAGACTTGCAGCTACCACTACTTCTAGCTCATGAGCCTCCCAAAACGTAGAGACTTTTCTGTTGAGACCAGTGGTAGTATCAATGCATGTGATTTTTAAAACATTTTATAATGAAATGAGCCAACATTTAGAAGACTGGCATAATACAGTGAATCAGTATTTTCCAGATGACCAATGCATGGGTAAAAGATCCATCTGAAGTACAAGATCCAAGAGATTTTAATGTAACAGAGTATGAAAATATAAATTTGACTTCAGGTTTCACACTAAAACCAACCTTTAAGAAGCTACCATTTGTCCAGTTTTGGTGTTGTAACAAAGAATATCCACCACAGTCTGTAAAGGCTCCCATTTCTTTACAAATTTTATGAGGTTGAAATTTTTTTTATTTTGAAAAATTGATTTTTCCCCCCATAAATAAACATATTAGAGGTTATTATTAATTTTAAATAAATATTTTAAAATTTTCTTGGTCTTTAATCTTATACAATAGCTGCTGAATGACATAACTCACATAAACAAAAGCTCTTTGGTATATGAAGGGGTCCTGAGACCAAAATGCTTGAAAACCGCTGCCATAGATAAATATCTCATAATACTTACATAAATGTCAACTGGAACATAAAAAAGGGAAAAGCAATATTTTTCCTTTCTTATGAGCACATAATCTGTGTAAGGAGTAAAAAGAGAAAGCAAGGAATAACGAGTCCTCTTAAAAGCCTTTTTTTTTTTTTTTGTAATGGAGCAATGGAGGTGGGTGACTTGTTGGTTTCTGCTCCAATGTCAATATAGAATAAAAGAAAATCAGAAGACCATGTAATTAGGTCCTGAAAGTCCTTTACAACAATGAAGTCAAGCAGCATTTCCTCACCCTTCCAAGGGGAAGAAGCAAAGCAAAGGAGGTTAGTGAATGGCCGGACTCCTGTCATCTTGTCCATGATCACAAACTGATGGCAGATATAGATACATGAGGCATGTAATCCAATAGGTCAAATTTCAGCCTGACTTCAACAGGATCTTAACTTTTATCCAACTAGAGGCACTACTGACTATGCCTATTACTTTATTTCTCTTAAGCAGAGAGTTGCCACAGCTGAAAATCTGACCTTACTCCATGGTTTACTGTATTTCAAAGTAATCAGTCAGTAATCACGACTTTTTTAATGAGAAAATGTGAAAAGAACTCACCTGTAAATCATATGGCTTTCCAGCCCTCACTAAAAAACTCAGTAATATACTGGTGTGTGCAAAATGGACATTCTCATCCAAGAACCCATGTAAGAGGAGTAAACGATTTGGTCTGGAGAAATGGAAATATCGGAGGAGGATTAGGCAAGCCACTTATTATTTGGGAAAAACCACTTAATTCCTTTAAACTAATCACAATTAAGTACATTAATGTTCTTGTACTGTAATAGTAGAATAAGGATTCAACATTTCAATATTAAATTAGTACTATATTAACCAGATGATGTATGTAATGAAAGGTTAAAAAATTAAAATCTCATGTGTTCAGTTTCCTTTTGAGAAATCAGCACACATCAGTAGTTATAGCACGTCCCTAGGAGGAAGAACGTCATATACGTTATTTGTAAAATATACGTGAGCAGAAATAGAATTTTTTCCACCTTGAAATGGCTGTGTACTTAATTAAACTTCTTTCAGCACTTAAGCAATGGCTTCAAATATAACTTGTAAAAAAACCCAAATTATATGAACTGGCCTGTAATTCAGTTTTGAGAAACATCCATGCCTGCTAGTATTCCTATAAAATACTAGGCTTAGTTTTGTCATAGTTGTAAGTTTTTATTATTACTAAAGACAATTAAAAAAAATACGACTTTAAATTTATAATCTTAATTTTAAGGCTTGAACTTACTCAGAGGGGAACTTTTCTGCCTGCATGGCCACAGAGCCTAAGTAATAGCCTTGTTCATTCTGGTCAGGGTGACCCATATAACGTTCCGTGTAGCCTGTATCATAGAAGATCCACAGAGTGACTGGGGCCCCAGCAATGGCAACCTACATAAGAAAACAGTGACAGTCAAATGTGGTCCAGAAAAGAATGGCTAGCGATGAGAATCTGTATCTGCAAATTTACAGGCTAAAATTATCCTCAGGCTTTAGCCCCACGGCTGGGGCATACATGGTCTCAGGCAACTCAGAAAATCAGAGTGGAGTGCCAAGGTTAGGAATCTGATACTGTGTGCGTCAGTTAGCTTCACATTCCACGGGTGTGCCACACACCAAGTCCTTAACCTGGGCTAGCTGACACACAAACACGGGCCTTTGTTAAAAGAGGAGGCTGAACTAGAACATATGAATGCCTCAATGTAAACTCATTCCTGCTTCTGGTGAAAAAAATATGGGACAAGTGTCAGCTTTATATAGGAAAAGCAGTCATTTTTTTTAGCCTCTACTGGCAATACAGGATTTAAAACAATGAATGAAATGTATTTAAGCACTGAACACTTGCCTCACTTTACGGCACCCACACACAGCTTTGTATTTAAATATTCTAATTACTTTCTCTACAGCTGTAAGCCTGGGAAAACTGCTTTCAGAGTTCATTTTGTGGTTATTATAAATAAAGATTATCTGAATACACATGTAAGAACAAAAACCCCATCATTTTTATTCCTAAAACTTTTTGCTGTGAAATAAAATCATGTTATTGCAATATTAAGAAAGAAGAATGCTATTCTTAATTCCCATTCCTTTAACAACTGTTAGCTTCTTTTTCTATTTTCTTCTAGTATATTTTTGTAAGAAGTTGTTTATAGAATTGTAATCACTGTTATATATTTAATAATTTATTCATCCAATACAGATTTACTTAGGACCTACCATGAGCCAAGCACTGTGCTTAGCTGCTGAGGACACAGTATAGGGCAGACAAGTCTCTGCCCCCAGAGCTTGGGGTCCAATAATTAAACAAGTAAGTACAACCCAGTATATATGTGTGTATTTCACTAATCCTGATTATCTCCCATAATCTTTGGCATATGTCTATAAATAGCTAATAACTGATTATCAAGTTGACAAGTGTTTTATATAGACATATATATAGATAAAGATATGTAAATATATCTCACGTGGATATCACAAGATGACAAGATATATCTATTATCTCACACAGCTATTAAATACACAAACCCTAACATTTTATAATACTGTCAACTCTGTAAACTGGCAGAAAATCGACATTTTCTCATACCCTCAATTTATAAAAAAAAAAATTCTACCCTTATTGCAAAAAGGAGTACAGCAGGAAGTGACATACCCTGAAGATATCTGACCTCTGCATGAGTGCCATCAGGGACAGGTATCCTCCATAGGACCAGCCGTGGATGCCCACACGATCTAAGTCAATGAAATCATATTGAGAGGCTAGATATTGGAGTCCTTCCACCTGATCGTCAATTTCTATTTGACCCTGTCAAAAAAGGGTGAACATTTCACTGATTCTGATGAATAAAAATCTCATTATAAGAGCGCTTTTAAAGCTGATAGATGTTTTTACTAAAAATACCTGTAGTTTTTTTAAGATAAGAACTCACTATTAATTGAGATTCTGTTGCTCAAAAAATTTTTTTTACTCTATTTAGAGATAGGAACCTACAGCTTCTGTTGCTAGCCTGCCCTAGAGTTTAGCTATCCTTGGTCATAGTGTTCTTCCCTACTGTGACCCAAAATGTCCCTTGCTATGTGGGTATTTCCCATTTCCATTTGTTCTGTTGTCTGCTAAGAGGTCAGCATCTTCCTTGTAACAAGCCTTCCTATACCCAAAGATAAAAAATTGGCCCCCTTAAGTGGTTGACTGATTTTACTTCTCCTTTTGAAAACTTAATGCAGTAAAGCAGAAGGGATCACCCTCGAGACCTTTTCCTCCTATTTTCCTATCATCTACCTCTAGGAACTGAACAATTTCTTTAAAGTCCTGTTAAGTCCTAATTCCTATCACCACCACCCTGTCTGTATTACTAGGCCTGCCAGTGCACACAATCTCACTTCACTGAGCCAAAAACAAAAATAAAAACAAAAAAACTTACATGAGAATACAACATAAGGTCAAAGAACTGGCTGTGGGAGAAACTCCCCATGTCTTACTCAGCATGTCCAATACACTGGCAAACACAGTAACTGCCTTACTGTGCAAAAGGAACATCGGATTCTCATCATTTCCCAAAGCAGCAGAAAGGACATGGGGCATCTCTAAAAGGTAGCATTTAAAGCTTCCTGTAGAGAGAAAGAGGCTTGTCACAAGGAAGGCACTAACCAGTTGGTTTCTCTCTTCACAGAGGACAGAACAAATCTCAATAGTGTACAGGATGCTGAAAACTAAATGTGCTGCCTTCTGGCTAAGCTGGACATATAAAATTGAAAGAGAGGGTATTTCTAGGTACAAGTGGTTCTGTCTCAGCTCCCCAAAGTTACATACAGGTATCCACGAGCTAGCCTAGTGAGTATCAAGTTGCATCTTCCCTCCCACCCCCAAACTCAAACACATGCTAACACACGCGCACTCACTCACAGCCCCTTCCCCCAACTCTTCCACTGGGATTTCACACCAAACAATGCACCGAAAATGTAAATGGCTTTAAAAGAAAAATGCTTGCATGCTCACACACCATTTTATATTTAAAGGCGCCTTCAAATTTAAGCCCTCGGTGACAGGATCCCCTGTTGTCTATCACTACTACCACATAACCCAGAGAGGCTAGGGTATTCAAGCGGAAATACTTGATTCCTTTAAACCGATTATTCACCAGCTGCACCTGAGGAAGAAATACAACTTCAGTGAAATTTATTACATGGTAGCATACAAAAGCGTGAGAGAGGCAGGATGCAAAAAACAGAAAGCTTAACGTTTTTATATTATTTTGCCTATAAAATAAAATTTTATAGAACACAACATGAGATTGACTCTCTTAACAAAAATTTAAGTGTACAATACAGTATTGTTAATCACAGGACAATGTTGTATTGGCACATCTCTAGAACTTACTCATCTTGCATAATTAAGATCTTTTTTTTTGCCTGCTGATTACCAATCCCCCATTTCCCCCCTCAAGTTAATTATTTTTAAATTAACTTGAACACCAGAAATTGACATAACCTTGTAAACTGACTATACTTCAATTTAAAAAAAAAGTATATAAATTAACTTAAATCTTTTCATGTTTATGTTACTTTTCTTTCTTAACTTCATGTTCAAGGTTCAGAGCAATTACTGAGCAACTATAGCCTTCAAAACTATAACCTAGATATTAATTATATACAAGAGTTTTAACCTGCCCCATAGAAAAAGGGACTAAAATGATTACTTCTACCCTGAGGAAGAATTTTATCATTCAAATGACGGAATAAGATAATTTTTCCTCCCTACTTCTCTCTTCTGGGATTTTCTCTGATCAGTAGGGGAAAAATACAGTATTTTAATGAAAACACTGTGACCAGCTGGCTCCCTTTTTCCTTTTACACGAATCAGTGCAAAAAGTACAGGAATTCTTAAATAACTTTATTGCCCTGGAGGCCTGCTTCTTCTCAGAAGGTATTTAAACATAATGCCCTTCGGCACTAAGCATTCAAAAGTTTCCTTCAATATCGATTCTTCAAAACCTGTGTTCTGCTATTACTCAACCTGCTCTCTCGTGCATTTCTGTTTGCAAAACAGTGCCTGTCACACAGGAAACACCATAAATACTTATTGAATAAACATTTCACAACATACAATTGTCATCAATGAAAAGTTTAAGGAACTAAGCGTTGATGACTTTAATGGGGAAATAGTTATTGCTTTTCTTGAATTTCACTTTTGTCCAACTACAGACCTTGCTGCATTTAGTGACAAAGTAATTCACTTCATGGTATGAATTGTGACACTGTTGCTATTCAAAGGATTCCCACTTTGACCCGAATATACACCAAGAAAAACAATGTTTGGACCATTGATACGATTTAACTGAATTTCACGAGGCTGTTATGTGCTATTGGAAAGATCTGGTCCTACATTAAGGAGCCTCTTCATAACTAACCCAGATGGTCATCAAACACAGGGATGAATGATCTCCCAGTGGGCTGAATGGCCAAACACATTCTATCATGCAGTCTCATGGGGAAAGCTCCCTGCAAACCAAACACCACATTCTCCTGTGGCCTCATCAAATTTGGATGCTTCCAAAGATACTTTGAGAAAGAAACTGTTCTGTGAGTGGAAAAAAAACGCAGTTTTAAAGAGCTCCAAATAATTAAACAATTTTGTCCTAACAACATTTGCTAGGACTCTTTTTTTTTAAATTATGGTAAAACATGCATTTTAATCACTTTAAGGGTATAATTCATTGGTATTAAGTATAGTCACACTGTTGTACAACCATCATCACCATCCATTTCCAGAGCTTCTTCATCATCCCAAACAGAAACTTCAAACCTATTACCTAATACCTCCCGATCCCTCTCCCAGTCCTTGGCCACCTCTCTATTCTACTCTGTCTCGATGAATTTGTTTCTTCTAGGTACCTCATACAAGTAGAATAATACAATATTTATCTTTTTGTGTCTGGTTCATTTCACTTAGCACAATGTCCTCAAGATTCATCTGTATTGTAGCATGCGTCAGAATGCCCTCCCTTTTTAAGGCTGCATAATATTCCATCATATACCATATTCTGTTCACCCATTCATCTGTCAGTGGACACTGGGGTTGCTTCCGCCCTTTGGCTATCATGAATAATGTTGCAGTGTACACTGGTATACAAGCATCGGTTCAAGTCTCTGCTTTTAATTCTTTTGGGTGCATACTCTGAAATGGAATTGCTGGATCAGATTATAATTCTGTGTTTAACTTTTGAAGTATTATCATATTGTTTCCCATACTGGCTGCACCATTTTACATTCCCATCAGCAATGTACCAGAGTTCCGATTTTGCCCCACACCCTCACCAACATTTGTTATTTTCCTTTTTTCCCCCTTTTGGATAACAGCTGTCCTATGGGGTGTAAAGTGGTATCTCCTTGTGGTTCTGATCTGCATTCCCTAATGACTAGTGATATTGAGTATCTTTTCATATGTCTTAGACTTTTAAATTTAATTACTAATATAAGGAGTCCTCTGGTCTTAAAATCCAGACAACCAGCTATAGTTTTCATAGTGTTTTTTCCAAACATGTCATATATCATTTCTTCACTGGGAAGGAAAAACATTCTTCTTGCTTAGCTGTAATATCAAAATAATATAACAAAACATGTAAAGTTCTTGAGTGTCCTGTAATTTCTCTCTTGAATTTCTTTATATTATACCTTTGTTCGAAGTTCACAAGCATTTGGCTTCAGGTTTTTAACACGGTCTGTGTGTGGATGATCCATGTTTTGCTTGTTTGTAAAACTCACTAAACAATATGGCAAAGTGATTTAACTTGATATGTGATCATCACTACTGAGACTTTATGGCTTATGTACTTATTTTACTTTTATTGTTTTGAATGACTTGACATCTAAATACATTTCCAGATCTGAATAACTAAGTATAATTATAAAGGATACTTACTGAGTCCAAGGGAGTTGCTTTATCAAAACAGGGTAACTATATTCAGGGGCTCAATTTAAGATATATAACCAAGATTAAACATTTAAAAACATTTCCAATTAACCAGTTCACCTACCCCAAGTACTTTACTCTGACAGTCAATAAAATTTATGTAATACTCACATGCCAGTATTTAATCCAGAAAAAGGAAAAACAATGTGTAAACATTTTGCAGCGCTGAATAGTAGTACAACAGTTGCTTTAACTAGCTCATAAAAATATTATAGCTTACTTAAGAGAAATGACCTTAGAATGAAGGCAGGGGAATTCACTAGGCTAACCAAGGCTTTCAAAAATATCTGTTAAGCAACATGGATGCTCCTGGAGAATGTCATTCTAAGTGAAGTAAGCCAGAAAGAGAAAGAAAAATACCATATGAGATCGCTCATATGTGGAATCTAAAAAACAAACACAAACAAACAAACAAAAACAAAGCATAAATACAGGACAGAAACAGACTCATGGGGA